CTACATGACCTGGAGTGTTGTGCCTGATTTGAAGAGTGTTTTGTTTTTGAACTTCTGTGCATGTCGCAGTTTGACCATAACAAAAAACATGTTTAAACATAAGAATGTCCATCTTGGTTCTAGGGCAACCTATGTCGCAGGTTAATGATAGCACTTGTAGTTTTGTCATCCAAACTGCGGTTGCTTGTTTTGGACACTCCGGTAAAGAATGGGGTAAACTTATGTTTATGTTTATTTATTTGGCAGACGCTTTTATCCAAAGCGACGTACAATTTTTAACTTGTAGGGCATGTTGTGATCTGTAGGGGAAGCCGAGTACCCGGAGGAAACCCACGCATGCATGGGGAGAACACGCAACTCCACGCAGAAAGGCCGCAGCCAAGTTTCGAACCTGCAACCTTCTTGCTGCGAGGCAACAGTGCTAACAACTGCGCCACCATGCAGCCCAACTTATCAGCTCATCACCTGGTGATGAATTGGATCAGATGACCAGGGAAGACCGCACATGCACCTGATTGGCAATAAATAATGAAGGTCTAATTCATATTCAGCTCCCACCTCTGTCAGAGCATATTGCCTCTCAAGGGCAGTGCGGTACATTGCATACAAATGGGTTATGTTTTGCTCAAGAGTTGCTGTGGAAGCCATTGCTAACTGTGGCTTCAAGTTTGCGGGTGCCACTTGCTGAAGTAACCCCGGACCTGCTAGTGAACCCCAGAGGTTTGTAGAGCTGTCAGGCGCACATGTTCTGGTAAGGAGCTATGGTTGGGAAATCTGGGGGTTGTTTGCTCAGTCTCTGGTGTAAGAAGTCTGAGGTAGTCAAATGATTATGTTCTGGTGAAACCCCACGGATTGACAAGATCCGTCCTGGGTGGCTATGAATGTTGAAGGAGGGTCTGGGCTAACAAGTCTGTGCAAGTGTTCTTGGACTTTGGGGATGGTGGCTATGGAAGAGCAGGCAGAAAAGTGGTCCCCATTTACAAGAAAGAGGATCAGAGGGTGCGTTTCAATTGAAGAGGGATCAGCGGGAGATTAGCAGGAAGATCAGGTCAGGGTCTGCCATGATGTGGACATTAAACCAGAAATTTAAGCTCCCAGTTTGGCTGCTGGACACCTCGATGAAGAACTGTTTCAGGCACTTCTGTCAGGATGAAGCCACCAGTTCCACCTGGGACATATCTCTAGGCTGGTCTTGGAATTCCTGTGGTCTCCAAAGAATGCTGGTGGATGTCACTGGGGAGTGAACAGTTTATTCTTGCCTCTCTGACCCAGACCCAAATAAGTGGTTGACTATGTGCTACAAGAATGAACTGAAGTGAGATGCAAATATCAAGTGCATGTTTTCAGCAGCAATTCACCATGCTCCCTTCTAAAGTCTTTGGCATAAACCACGGTAGTTTGTTTTTCCTTGAGTGTAAATAATTATATTCCTACCTTGAATGTAAATCATTTTTTGACTGCAGTTGAACTGACATCAGAACATGCCCAGAAGGTAGCAGAGCTGGAGCTGGCTGTGCATCAGAAACTCAGAGAACGACAGAAGGTTTACGAGGAAGCCTTTAACCAAGACATGGAGCGGTATATTTCTACTGGATGTTTGCAGAACAAAGGTGAGTTAGGCCAAGCCAAAGCTCACACACGTAAATCAGATACACACATAATTAGTTTTTTTTTTTTTTTCCACTAAAGTACAAACGGATATTGTGTTTATTGATGAGCAGCAAAGGACGATTGTGATCAATGTGAAATTCCCAAATTACGGCGATATCAGGAAAATGGAACACAAGACATTGGACAAATGCCAATGGCTCAGCAAAGAGCTTGAAAGAGCGTGACAGGTGAAGGCAACTGTAATGCCTGAGGGCACTGGAGCACTCAGGGCAATGACCTCCACACTGAAGAAATTACTCCATCATATACCTGGACAAACATCTGACATCTCCCTCCTGATGAGTGCAGTCCTAGAGACAACTAAGATGCCACCCCACTCAGGGTAGGGGTGGGTGGGTAAAAGAGAGTTTATTGGTAAAAAATATATATATATTTCTTGAAAATCAGGCAAATAAAGACAACACAAATAGCCTGGTCATGCGTTCCTTGTTTTTTGGGATTGTACGATGTAGCTTACAGAAGTAGCTTCTGTAGTGAACTAGGATTGGGACAATATTACATTTAACTTGTGACTTGTTTTGTAACACGTAACTTTCGTTTAGTAACATGCCACAACGTTCATGCCGCTTTGCACTGTATAACATACGAAAGATCAGACCATACCTAACACAACATGCCACCCAGCTCCTGGTGCAATCTACTGTCCCGCCCCGATTACTGCAATGCCCTTCTAACTGGTCTTCCAGCCTGTACTGTGAAACCTCTTCAAATGGTCCAGAACGCAGCGGCACGTCTGGTCTTCAATCAGCCAAAAAGAGCACACGTCACCCCTCTGTTCATTGAGCTCCACTGGCTACCGCTAGCAGCACGCATCAAATTCAAATTGCTAACACTAGCATACAAAGTCCGAGATGGTACGGCTCCCATCTACCTGAATCATCTTGCAAAGGCTTACGTCTCGGCCCGGCCGCTCCGGTCATCCCAGGATCGTCGGCTAGCAGTGCCTACACCACACTCAGGACAATCCTGACTCTTCTCATGCATCGTTCCACAAATGTGGAATGACCTACCAAGCACTACAAGAACAGTGGCTTCCTTTTCAATTTTCAAGAAACTCCTGAAGACCCTGCTCTTCAGAGAGCATCTTCTTAACTAGCGCCCTCCCTGCACCCATCCCCCTTCTCTACCGTCCACTCCTTTGTTCCCTCCTCTCCATGATTGATGTAAAGTTGTTGTTATTGTTGTTGTTAGCCTCAAGGGCAACATGCCAATTATCAGTTGTAAGTCGCTTTGGACAAAGCGTCTGCTAAATACATAAACATAAACATGTAGCTTTCGTTTTGTAACATGTAACTTCAGTACCTTACATGAAACTTTTAATTTGTAACTTGCATAAAAAAATCAATGTACAAGTTTCAAACCACTACTTTCAAAACACAAATCTCAGACTACAGTTACAAACTCAAGTCTACAAATACAAAGCATTTCCCCAAGTCCCAATTCTAGCTTGCTTCCAACAGGAGTTATCTTCGACAGGAATCCAAGACTCATGATTGATTGGTCAGACAATGCTGTCATTGGTTCTTTGGGAAGCAAGCTAGAATTGGGAGAAAATATTTTGTACTTGTAGACTTGAGTTTTGTAACTGTAGACTGAGATGTGTGTTTTGAGGGTTGTGTTTTGAAACTTGTGCATTGATTGTTTGCTGCAAGTTACAAAATGAAAGTTTCATGTTATGTACTAAAGGTTACGTGTTACAACACGAGAATTACATGCTACAAAATGAAAGTTACAGTTACAAAACATGTTACAGGTTACTAAGCTTGGTACAAGTTACGTGTAATATTGTCCTAATCCTAGTTCTATACTTCTGTAGTGAACAGAAATGTGAACACAACAGTGAATAATTTAGTGAAAAGGTCTGCTTTTGAAGCAAAAATACTTTTTTTTTGAAGAAGTTTGTTTAGGGCTGAGCGATGTGGCCTCAAACTAATATAATATACTGACTGAGCCTTTCACCTCTAAAAACGATAACTACAACACTGCATAAAAGCTAAAGTTTGTCCACTAGAAATGGCTGTGACAACATAGCTGCTCCACAGCCATTTTTATAGACAGTAGGGCTGGGCGACATGGCCTAAAATCAATATCACGATATATATATATATATAATATATATATATATATATATATATATATATATTTTTTTTTTTTATGTGTCCTGTCTGGCTGTGAAGCAAGCAGAATTGATGTCTGAATGCTGGTGACAAGCCTTACAGATTTATTCTCAGGTGGAGCATCAAAGCGTTTGCTTTTAATGTCACGCCTGATACTTAAAACTTTATTGTTATTGTTGTTGAATGCTTTGTAATTCCGACCAGACACGGAGACAGAGGTGAAAGAGAAAGTAAAAGAAAAGGTGGGGAGAGAGAGGGGGGGGGGGGGGGGTCCACAAAAATGAACAAGAGTCTGCTTCTAGACCAGCAGAAAAAAAAGACAAAAAAAAAAAAAGGGACACAAAAAAAGGGACACAACAACAATACAACAAGATCTACCTATCACTGCGTCAACTTGATGAAAAGAAAAAAAATATATATATATAATCAATATTGCTTAACTGAAGAATCACGATAATAAATCACAACGCATTAGGTGCCCACCATAGTCTTAAGACCTGTGTTTAACGTGCCCAAGCCCATACTTTTGAGAGCACCATGTGAGCACCTGTGTGTGTACACGCGCTTGTTTATTTAAGGTTTTTCTATAGGAGCGCCCAACAGAGAGTGTGAGGGACCACAGATCCGCCCCCCAAAGATGCGCAGGAGACGGGGGGAGCTCCAAGTCCCAGAGATCCAGGCGCTGCCCCAGAACGCAGGAACCCCAAGGAGACTGCAACCAGGAAGGCCCCCGCCCCCCTCGAGAGGCACAGAGGATCGCCCCGGGGGGCCACAACCAGCAGCCGGCAGAGTCCCTGGAGATATCAGCGGCAAGCCCACAGGCCCGCCCGCAGCCTCCCACCCCCTAGCCGGCCGAGCCCGGGACCCAGCGACCCGGGACCCAGGGGCGACCACCCCCGCCGGGGACCCAGCAGAGCCCAGGGGCCCAGACCCCACCAGGCAGCCACCGGGATCTATCAGGCAGATGCCAAAATCTTAAACCCCCAGACCCGGTTGCCACGAACACTCAGGCAGACCAAGGCACAAGCCCCCACACCAGGTGTGGCAGGGGGAGGGGGGACAGAGATCTATATCATCAAGAGAAGTTCCAGGAGAGGGGAGGACCCAAAGGCCCCACCTGACATATACAGTCATACACAAACACAGTCACACGCTCCCTCCCTCATTCTCACACATGCACATACAACCCAAGACTTACAAAAATGCACGCCGGACACCCACTCATGCTCCCCATACACACCTTATTCACTCTGGTCCCGGTACTGCTGCACATTGGGTACAACCATCACCGGTAACCAGAGTTTGACCCTTTCTGCTGGGGTGCTGATGAGCAGGCTCCCCCGCCCAACGCTGAGCACAGCAACCCACCACCCCAGACCCCAACCAGATGGCCAGATCTCCCTCCTAGCCTCCAGCCCCAGGAAGCCTAGCAACAACAGAGGTGGCTAAGACCCCTAGTCTCCCTCCGCCTGCTCCAATATAGTGTTGTGTGATCATGAGGTGTATTCCATGGCTGTGGTGAGTGGGCAGTGCGGGCATCATCCAGCATATGCCAGCTGATGCCACTGCACCACCCCACTTACACCCTCAGCCATCAGTGTCTAAGTGCGGTTTAAAATTGGCAGTGGGCACCGGCACTCGGGAGGAGGCTGAAATATCCCCCTGCCAATTGCCGTTGAATGTGCTCACTCCCAAGGCCCTAAGTGTGTGTTTGTGTGGAATTTCGTCAGTGGAAGTGTATAAGGTGCAAATAAAATTGGGGGGCAGGTTTCCACAGGAATGCGGAAATGGGGTCCATACCCGCACTCCCTGACTTGCCTACCCCCCAAGGTCCTATGTGTATGTTTGTGTGATGACATGAGGGAGCAGGAGGAGAGAAATATGCGGGGATGGGGAGGAATGGCTGGTTGGGCTTAGCCCTCCAGGGAGCCAGCTCCCCTACTGGCCCCAATAGGCACCTCTGTTGTCAAACTGCCACCCAGGGCATGGAGACCCCAGCCCATCCTGCCAGGGCCCAAAGCAGCAGCATTACAGAGCCTCACGGAGTCCGAGGGCACCAACCCAGCCCCACCCCAGCAGAATATCTATGCCCACTCCTGCATTTGCACAACTTCCAGAATATATAAGACATGGGACATCCAGGTAAGGTTGGGTCCTCCCCCTCCTGGACCTCCCCCTCCCCTGTGATGGAACGGCAGAGGAGCCAAGGTCTACCTGAGGCCCCCGAACCCGAGCCAGGCACTGCTGGGTGTCCCTGCCTTCTTCCCGGCAGCATACATGTCAGGACCCGACCCCCAAGGCCCCGCCCAGATCCCCACACGGGGCCGGCCACCCCCAAACCCCGAACCCCCCGAGGGTTGGGGACTCCCCTCACATCATGTTGGACAGAGTATGTGAAAGAGTATGTGATATTTACTTCTTAGGAGACGTCAACATTGATTGGAATTCTACAAGTTGTGCTTTAAGGAATAAATTGTACTCAGCGGCTCTTACGTGCAATTTGACACAGATGGTCTCACCACATACAAGAGTAAATGTAAAAGCTGATGGTTCTCAATCAGCAACTTTAATTGATTTATTATTTACAAATATGAGTCTGGTGTGTTCAAACGCAGTTTCAATCCCGGTAGGCTGCAGGGATCATAATTTAATTGTAATTAGAAGGATAACAAAAGTACCTAAATCAGGCAAAAGATTTATAGTGAAGAAGACCTTTCGAAATTTTGAAGAAAATGACTAATTTTTAGAGGACGTGAAAAATGTGGATTGGAAAAGAGTAAATCAGGAGTGTGATCCAAATAGTGCTGTAGAGGTTTTCAATGAGTTAATAGGAAAGCTTTTAGATAAACATGCTGCTATAAGGAAGCTAGCTGTAAGAAATAACTCGACCCCCTGGCTAGACCAAGAGTTGAAGGAGTTTATGACTCAAAGAAACACAATTAAAGAGAATGCAACTAAATATGATGTGGCATTATGGAATAAATATTACAAATTGAGAAATTATGTTACCTAACTAAATAAAAGTAAGAAGATAATCTATTATCAAAATAACATTAAAGAGGCAAAAATGGATAATGCATGTATATGGGGTACATTAAATGAACTATTGGGAAAGAAAGCTACAACAATTCCACTTTTTTTGGAAGTCTATGGGGTCTTTATTACAAAACCAAAACATATCGCCACACATTTAAGTAAATTCTTTAAGGACAAAATTCAAACCTGGAAATCTTCCATGAATCAAAAACAAGATAATGACATTTCATGTAGAATGATAAAAAAAGATGATGGGGAGTAAAGGATTTACATTTAAATTTGAAATAATTACTGATCAGACTGTTAAGAATATTCTGCTAACTAGTAAAGATACACAATCAGGCATTGATAATATTGAGGTGTAGCGTTGTTAATCTACATAACTAGAATGTAACGCTGTTGCTGTTTCAGCTTTGTTAAATCCTGAGAAAGATCAAAAGAATTGGCAATGAAACTTCTATCAAATATATATATATATCCACAGATATTTATATAATCGATAGAAGTTCATACACCAACTGATTTAATCAAAAGGTTAATATTTAATTTAAGAGATTTAAGTAAATATCAAAAGTTTAGTTATTAATTCAGAAGATCTAAAGAGATCTTTGCTCGTTCAGTGATCAATATACACCACTCTGTGTTTTATTTCAAAGAAGAGTCAGGTTTAAAAAGTAAAGAATTGATTACTAACAATTTAAAGATGACAATTGGAAAGCCAATTCATAACTGACAATTTATGAAAGCCTTGGTTTTAAAACTTGGTATTAAAGCAATCTGTGTCTGGATGAAAACTAAGCATGAAGTGTGTGTTTGGATGTGTGAATGTAGGTCTCAGAAGGTTTTATCTTAGAGAGAGAAAAACGCGTTCTGGGTGAAAGAGTTTGGTTTGCAGTTAAGCTAAATTATTTCTTTAAAAAAAAACAGGCATTTCAGACGCAATCTTTTGTTCTATCTCACCGTTCAGACGACCCTCTGTTTGGATCCGGAGGTCAAGGGAGGATGTTGATCAGCCTCTGGGTACCCGGCCCGGTACACTGCAATCCCGAATAAGTTCACTGAACTCAAAATTTATGAGGAAACTGATTACCTAATAATTTTTAAGTTAACTTATCAAAAACTATGTTTACCATAACCTAAAAAATATGACCTGAATAAAATCAAAGCATTTAACTACCTCCAACCTATAACTTAGCACTTAAGCAACTTAAAAAGTTTTATTTCACTAAACTTGCATATTTTATTTTATTTGAACTTTATTACATGTTTTTACTAACTTAAATAATACATCTTATATGAACTCTAAATGGACCTATTAAACCCTAACCCAAATAAGCTGAATTTACTTAAAAGTGACAATGTGACAGGCTGGTGAAGGCAGTAACTAACACCAGATCATGACTCACACACCCCTAGATGCTAACAGCCAATGAAAGTGGGACACTCAAAGTCAAGTCAAGAGTACCTGGTGTGAACAACCACAGTATTAATAACAATGGGACGGCACAGCCATACAGCATTACTTTGACCAACCTCCTCACTTATGGGGCAAACATGATACAAAAAGTAACACCACATCTGCAACACTGAATGAAATAATAACTGAGAACAACAATCCTCCACAATGAACATGCATAAACACCCCAAAATAGAGCAAAATAACTGAAAATTTGACTACCCACAATGCACCACGCCCAGCAGTTGTTTATTGTACCTGCAATCCATCAAAATTGCTAGTTTGTGGTTGTTTTTCCTGGAAATCCACAATTTAAAAAAAGAAGATACGAGTCTTTTTATTAGACACATTTTAGTGTTGACGTAAAGACGAATGGAATAACATAGAAACATAAAATAATAAATCAATCATTTTTTGTCAATATTACTCATTAAAGTTAAGTTGTCCTTCATTGATTAATTAAAGTTCTGTTTACTTAAAAAAAGAAATAGTTCATATTAATTAAAACATTTGAGTTCAATTACTTAAAACAAGGAAAAGGTTGAACAAGCTCAACACATTTGAGTTCTGTAAACTATTTTTTTATTATGAGTTTTATCTACTCAATGTATTTGATTATTTTGAACCTTTGGGTTTACAGTGTAGAGTAGACCAGTGGTACCGACTCTCTGGTCCTAGAGTTGCCGCAGGCACACAGGTGGATGGTTTGCGTCTTAAAATTAACTCTGAAGGAGTTTTGCGTCATCTTGTTGCAGATGGCGTTTCTGTTGACGCAATTCTATCGGCGTGACAGAAAAGCTTTAGTAGAGGTTTCGAACGGCCGACTCGATCCCCTGGACTCTCGTGCCTCGTGCATAGATGGATCAATTGATGTGACTGACCTTTTACCTTGACCTCTAACCTTTTACTAAGCAGCTTCTAGTTCGTGCATCAGTTAACATGATGACAGACCCAGGTAAGAATCCCCATCTGAACCTGAAGATACCTGGCTGAGCCACAGACCCCGCTTCATAGGTGTGGCCGGATTAATTTTACTCGATCATGTAAAACCACCAACTTGGATGTGCTCTGAGAAAAAAACTGTTGATGGGAGATAGCTCTAAGTGTGTGTGTGTGTGTGTGTGTGTGTGTGTGTGTGTGTGTGTGTGTGTGTGTGTGTGTGTGTGTGTATGTATGTATGTGTGTGTGTGTGTGTGTGTGTGTGTGTGTGTGTTGGCAGGTTCAGCAGAAGCTGTCGAGTGCATCCTGGATGACATCATGGTTACTAACTTATCAGACCAGGAAGCTCTGGATGACTTCCTCAGTTCCACTGTAGAAGATGTTAGTTGTGGATCCTCTCTGACTTCAGGTAATGTCGTCTAACTTCCTGTTACACGTCAACGATGGCGTATTACAATGATCAAACCACACTTTAAGACAATACTGGCTCCAAAGCTTTTTTGTCTTTTGAGAGCGTTTAGATGTAGTTATCACTGAGTGCAACTTGATCAACTCCTGAAATGTTTTCTCTAACAGGTCCCGACTGTGGGTCCTGCTCCTCTGAGTCGTTAAGCCAAGCTCCTCCCACAGACAGCCAAGAATCTGACCAGGTTTCAGACGAGGAAAAAATTGGTAGTGAAGAGAGTGACAAGCCGCTGGTCCAATCAGATGAGGATGTGCAGTCTAACGTGTCACTGGTTGGCCTGCAGGACACTGGTACTAACTGGGGTTCTGATGAGAGTGACTCTGCAGGGGATCAGACCCAAGCTGACTAGCATTCAAAGCACAAAAATACATTTCTCTTTCCCCTGGTTAAAAAAAAACTGTTGTCTAACTCTGAGCTTTTTGTCTAATATTAAAGCAACAGATATTGTCTAAATAAACTGCAGAAACGGAGCTTTTAACTGATCCCTAGTGTTCTTTTCCAACATTTGGTATGGCCTCTACCACAGTCCCAAAGTATTCAGTAACTGAATTTTTCATTTATACTATTATGCTCTGTTTCTCACCAACTACAGTTATTGCATTTATTGCAGAAATGTAAGATGGATCAGTGCTGAATAAAGTTGCTAATTCATACGTGGAAGTACTTGGAGCAGCTGAAATGTAGCAGATTAGTTTTCTTAGTGGAAGAAGTGTTAAATTAATCAGAATCACTATTTGTCATTGAACCAGCGTCGCACTACACTAAACGTTTGTTCTAGTGCCGCCTTTCCAACAGCAGACATACAACATGAATGGGTGAGGCATTTGAAATAGGAAAATGCCTTGTAACGACTTGCTATGCCTAGAAGGAGCAAAAGTGTAACATGAAGGTTGTCCATCCTCCCCAAACCTCACTCATTAGACTTAGCTTGATGAGCTACATGGAGGGATTTGAAGGGTTGTGTGCAATTGGCCTTGGGGTTGTGTGTGTGTGTGTGTGTGTGTGTGTGTGTGTGTGTGTTCCTATACTTACTATAATCAAGTCATCTGTCCAACTTCAATTTCATAATATTCCCTCAGTGAGTGAGTGATCCTACCTGCCGATGCTGCTGGGTCTTGCTGCTGACTCCAGAAACAGCACGTTTTAGTGAAAAATGCCCGTTTTGCACATTTAGTGGCGTCTGTTTCTAGAGTGTTCCTCCTGAGTCCTGCTTCTCCCACCCGGAGTCACCTGAAGTGTTCCGTCTGGAAGCGCCTGCAGAAAAAAGGCAGAGGCGGCCCGGGGACAGCGCGGTAGCGGCGTCTGATCAAAGCCATGACTGAACCCTAACCCCAACACAAAAAGAGAAGAAGGCAAAAACTGACGAATTATAAAAAAATATGTTTTTGTTTTTGTACCTGACATGAGAGGCCCTTTCAGCAGGTAGGCAGTCTTAGGGATCAGCCCAGTGACATGATGACTGAGCACCGGTCCAAAACAAACACACAAACAAACAAAAACAACACCGGGCCTTGCGGTCCAGACCCCGATTAGCCACTCCGGGCCTGCTTGAGGTTATCAGTAGTAAACTCTACATGTAACAGTTCAGTAAATAAATGTCTGACAAAGGGACTTGTTAACAACTGTCGTGATCCGGCGGGGAAAATCAGAAAAATTTAAAGAGCAAGTCACCCCCAAATCAACTATTTTTTCTGATAAACTATATAAATGTGTGTCTAACCGTGCTGCAGACACGTGTAGTCAATAGTTTTGCACTTTAGTGCATTTTATTAAAATTTAAATTTTCTGCCTGAAACTGTCAGTGTTGTGCCGTTGTCAGGTAAAAACTCTTCACTGCATTTGAATTTAAATCTGCCACCGTTATTGGCTAAGAGGTATGCTATGATGTAAACTGGTACATTATGATGTCACAATGCCGTGAGTGTGTGTATTTGTGAGCGGCTCCGCCCTCTCGGTCTGCTAGGCAACAGCATTTGTTGCATTTTTCAAACATGAAGTGGGAGTGAAGTACGCTTCTTGTAAGGGGTGACTTGCTCTTTAAATAACAATAACTGACATTTTCATACCTGCTTTGTCAGGCTTATATTGAATAAACAAATGCACATTTTATTAACCTAAACAACCCGCTTTAATTTTTACACCCACTTTATGCTCACGAGGAAGTTATAAGATCTAATAAAAAGCGAAATTAATTTCGTTTATTCTAATAATCTACAAGGTAATAATGCTAGTAACGCGTACATGGAACCAGCACTCATTCCGTTGTTTAAGGTAAAAAAAATCCATGAAACAATCTGAGATTACCATGTGATTCCTTAAGGTTTGTAAAAGAAATGGAGTCACCTCGTGTGTGTGTGTGTGTGTGTGTGTGTGTGTGTGTGTGTGTGTGTGTGTGTGTGTGTGTGTGTGTGTGTGTGTGTGTGTGTGCGTGTGTGTGCACTTGTCTACATAGGTTTAAGTGGACAAACTGTAACCCTTTGATGTATAATGGTCACTACAGTGGACAGGTACTCAAAATTGTTATTTATTTATTTTTGCTACTAAGCACAGCTGTTGAAGACTTCATTGCATTTGAGCCCCTCCATTTGGACTTCAGTAAGCCAAGCCAACATATTTCATGTTCAGAATGCACGCTGTCCACTGAGGTGGACATGTAATAAATTATTTGTAAATTAACAAAATATTACAAAAAATATTTGTTGAAATTTGTTTCATTCACACCTAAAAATGAATGTAAAAAATTGTTTAAAAAATCATGGTTGAAGATTTCATATTTCATGCATCAAAGGGTTAATCTGTACTGTGTGGGCATGTCCACACTGTGGGGACATGTTGCTGGTCCTCACAATGTGAACCCTAAAACTTGGTCTTAGAGAGGTATGGTGTGAATTAACTTTTAGTTTAGGTTAGGTGTGGATCAGCATTGGTTATGGCTAGGGTATGGGTTAGGCATAGTGGAGTGGAGTCACTAGTCAATGGAGGTCCACAAACATACAAGTGTGTGTGTGTGTGTGTGTGTGTGTGTGTGTGTGTGTGTGTGTGTGATTTACAAGCCATCTCTGTTGTGAAATTGTTACATGGGTTTGTTTCCTCTGGCAAACCTAAATGCAACTATTTTATAATCTTTCTACGTTCTTTTACTCCATACGTGAGAGCAACGCAGTCAAGCCAGCTCACGCTGGAGCTCTTATTAGCTTTGCGCATTCATGGTGCATTACGGTGCGTTGGAGCAAGAGGAGCGCCCTTTCAGGTGGAAGTGAGCCTCTCGGCTTTACCCGATGGCTTTACCATAACATCTTTATTACATACTTACTAGTTCTCCATATGATATCCAGAACAAATGCGATCTAATTTTACTGTAGATTTTGGGATAAGTAAAACAACTTTCCAGAATAGATTGGTGTCACATTCAGGAATTAATTAATTTCTCCAAAGTGCTAAGAGGTGACAGAAAAGTATCTTCAGATCCTACTAAAATAAAAGAACAGTCCTGGCTTCCCTGGCAGCTTTAAGCAGAGGCTGATGGGTAATGTAGTGTTTTAGCAGCAGAGTGCCCCCTCCTCTCCACCCTCAAACCACTTGAGGACGCGCTGTTTGTTCAGCAGGACTTTCTGATGATCAGATATGGAGAAGGACACCAGGGACAAGTGGGAAAGCCCCACGCAGTTCGTTCTGGCTTGTGTCTCCTATGCAGTCGGCCTGGGGAACGTGTGGAGGTTCCCCTACCTGTGTCAGATGCACGGCGGAGGTAAGTCCCGGAGTCTAGGGACTAAAGTTCACGTTGCACAAGAATGCGCAAGAATGCGCGCTTAAATCTCCTGCTTCACGGACGTGGTTTGTCTGAACTTCCAACTGTTTTGTTGTGCTGCTCATTTAAACCAGAACACACGTTTCACCCGACCGAACTCATTTATCCAGAACCTAACGGACAAGTCCGGTTCTGATCCCGGTTCTACCCCACAGATGTTGGGTCGAGTTGCGTTGAAGCGGGACATCTGTTCCCGGGTGGCCTCGAGTGAGTTCTAGAATTAACTGGATTTAAAACACATCTCACTTTTAAAAACATTTGATTAAATCAAAGCACCAAGAAGGAAAACAAATATGTAAATAATAAATCAGCAGTCTTTTTATTCCCTGAAGGTAAAACCATCTCCCTTGTTATATAAACAGAGTTCCTGCTTGCTTGAGATTTCAGACAGGTGGTTTTCCATTCAGAACGCTGTAATGACGTGACCTTTGTTACTACAGGGTGTTTGTTCTGCAGTGTTGGGCTAATCTCCAGGCTGTCAAAGCTTTGAAAAGGAGAAAACTTGAACTTTTTGACATTGGGCAGGTTGGTCAGCATTTTTTTCTCCGATATTTGTTATAATTTTCATTTAGTTTTATTGTACAAACAGCTGGGTGTCCAACCCAGAGATGTATGGAAAAAATGAATAGATAAACAATGAGTAAATAAAAGTAAAATAAAGGTATAGGCATTCAGCACACCAGTTCTCCAAAATGTTCCCATTTTCTTTCATGTCATTTTCATAGTTTAGTCTCCACATATTTTCACATGCCACAGACCCCATCATCTGGGGTTTCCACACCTTCAAGGAGTACGCGTAGTGGTCCATCCATCTATCCAACCAGTTTACGCTGCTTACCCGGGGTTGGGTTGCAAGTAACAATATCCCCATAGTCCATCCAGCATGTCCTGAGTCTTCCTTTAGGTCTTCTCCCGGTTGGATGTGCCCAGAAAACCTCACAGGGAGGCGTCCAGGAGGCATCCTAACTAGATGCCAGAGCCATCTCAACTGGCTCCTCTCGACGTAGAGGAGCAGCAGATCCACTCTGAGCCCTCGGATGACAAAGCCTCTCACCCTATCTCTAAGGGAGAGCCCAGCCACTGTCTGCACAGGGACAGAATGGCCATTTGTGTGTTCTGGAAGTGACATTTTAAAGGAACACAAGTTTAATCTCCCCCTACTGGTTGAAACTGGTATTACAATGGTGTTCTGGGGTTCGGGTGAGGGTGACTGCAGGGGATCAGACCCTGTTCACCCGAGTTATTGACCCTTTGCACGTGATGTCACGCCACTCATGTGACCGCCCCCTTCGCCATGATGGACGGCAAAAAGACCATTTACACCCATTGAAACTCCAGTGAAGGTAGTCAAAACAAGCCAGTTTGCAGCCTTTTATCGCTTTTATTTAGTTGATTTGACAGTAAAATGGTTTTAGCTTGCTGCGTGGTTGGCTGCACTAACAGACAAGGATGTAAACTCAACTCATTTTGTTTTTTTTAATAACTTTGATGGAGACTGAGGACGGAGATGAACTGCAGTGATCAATCAAGTGAACTAGCAGCCCTCAGATTTGCAGCGAGTATGTTTTTACCGGGTAAGATTGACGTTCATTTATTTCACGAGGAAGACAGGGATAAATGTGATGTGTTTATACTAGTTATTGATAATCCTGATGGATGGGAATTTCACCACGGAGGATGCGCGCCGTCCACTGTAGTGTAAAGCAAGATAATTATTAACAATATTAAAGCTCCGATGTATAGTTATGTGTGTTAAAATTACGTTATTTATTTATATGAGCGTCGCCGTTTAGAGATCTTCTCATTACGGTGTGAGAGCAGCAGCTGAACCCGGTAACACCACCAGCAACAAGGGATCCGGACTTTTTAACAATCAGCTTTGGTGTAAAGTGAAACGCTGTTTATAACATAATGTTATGAATCCAGAGGGATGAATTTAGGCAAAGTCAGCAACATGTTTACATCGGTGAACAGCTGCAGAGAGAATGTAAGCTAACGTTGGTAAGCTAGTTAATACACCGCTCTCTATGAGCCCCCGCTAGATGCGCTACTTCTTCTGATAACTGAACTGGGCATGAACTAGTTGAAGGAATGCTGGAGGAGTTTTGTTTTTGTTTTGATCGCAAAAACAATTTCAGGCTCTACTTTTCTCTTTGTTTAATACTCGTGTCGCTCACTGTTTACATGCTTTTGCCATCCAGCATGGTGGACCCACGTGATTAGGTGACGTCGGTGCAAAGGGTCAATAGCTATTTGCCAATTTTCACAAGAAATTTTTGTTTGGTTTTAGTCTTTTGACTAAAATTCTTGATATTTAGTGATCATTTAGTCGTCCAATTTGTTTTAATTTTAGTCGACTAAAATAAAAGTTTTTCTTCTGATACAATAATTTTCAACTTCTGTAAAGGAAATGTTAACTATACCTACTTGAAAGTAAAGAAATGTGAAAATTTCACACTTTGGATCAATAAAAGTATACTTATAATTGTTTTAATGACAGTAATTATTGTAAAATACCACAATAAACACTAACAGTTTGAAATTCTCTCTCTCAGTATAAATAAAGTTAACTAATCTGTATAACATGCAGTGATTTTTGTAAAAATAACAGGAAATCACACCATCCCATCAAACATTAAAGGCGGTTACTAAAGGTAAAAGTGTTTTCAAATCTATTTATTAGAGTTTTATCTGCATTAATTCACCAAGGTGGGCTACTTGAATGGGTTTTTCTCTCAAACAAACTCAGCTAGAACACCAAATGCTGATCATATTACTGCCATAGTGGCGCCACGAAAACGATTAAACAACCATGTGCGCCCTGACCTATTGCCCTATCAGAATCTTTATCAGACCACACTTCATAAGCCTCTTAATCCCGACCACAGACTTAATATTAATTCTGGACGTAGAACCACCCTTTTCTCTTAATGAGGCCAAATCTGTGCGGTTCCCATCACCGCCATCTTGGTCATGTCACGTCTCATCATGCCCAGACATTCCAAACATGGGAAAAGAGGTGGGGGCAACTGAACCAATGTAGCTAACTAACTGAGCTAACCCCCGAAGCTAAAGCGCTAATATTGGTGGTCCTAATTTTTATTATGGTAATTTCAATAAAAATATTAACAGTTTAGTATGAGTTCATCGGCGGGGGGGGGGGGGGGGGGGGGGGGGTAATTGTTACCTTAATTGTGTCAAGCTCCAGAATGCTAATGTGTCTAAGCAGTCATCACAAGTCTCTTCAAAGTCTGTTTCCTTTGAATGATTTTCATCTCCAAACACACTGAACACTTTAATAAAGTTTTTAGCCATTGTCAGCTGTGGACCTCACCGCTTTATTACTTATTCTGTCGTAATAGTGAATGTTTTCATGGGCAGTTTGCAGAACATAAAAGTTACCGGACCCTTTCACCCTCTGACAAGTGCAGGAGAGACCCTCTCCCATGGTGGCTGGTGAAAAACATTCTTGGTGGGGCTGTGTGTGAAATTTTCCCTTCTTAGCCCATAACCTAAATATTGAAATGAACATTTGGAAAATGACTGCAATTCTAGAATTATCATTTATTTCTGTTCTCCAAATTAGCAGTTTTACAGAAAAAGTCAATCATCAAATTTATAAATAAATTTGACTGTAATGATAATACTCAAACACACAAGCCTACCATGTACACATCTAAGAGCAACTGGAGTCCGTAATGCTCATTTTGTTTTTATTTACATTTTGTTATAAATATGATGCTGTAGTTTTTGGTCTCCAGCAGCCTGGATGCCTTAACCGTTTGATGCATAAAGGTCACTACAGTGGACAGGCACTCGAAATTGTTATTTATTTATTTTTGCTGTTAAGCACAGCTGTTGAAGACTTCATTGCATGTGAGCCCCTCCATTTGGACTTCAGCAAGTCAAGCCAACATATTTCATGTTCAGAATGCACGCTGTCCACTGAGGTGGACATGTAATACATTATTTGTAAATTAACAAAATGTTACAAAAAATATTTGTTGAAATTTGTTTCATCCACACCTACAGATGAATGAAAAAAATTGTTTAAAAAATCATGGTTGAAGATTTCATAATTCATGCATCAAAGGGTTAATTCACCATCTGTGTGATGCATTCACTCCTCAAAGAATAGTACTCGTCTCGGCCAGTAGGTGGCAGTAACACAACATTGTAAACATCCTGTTTCTAATTTCATTGTAATAATATAGAATGAGAACAAATGAAGACATCTTACAGCTACAGGTGTGATTTCAGCATAGGGCTGCATGGGAAATAAATCAAAAATTTATCGTTATCAAAATTTCTGACTCTTATCGTGATAATTTTTCCCATGTCAATAAATTTGATAATAAAAAAATTGAAAGATGTGTGTAGGTTGGCAGCGTTCATGTTCGTTTAAGAAGATGTACCACCTTAAGTCACGTAAAAATGTGACTCAACATAATACACGTGACAGCCCCATCTAGTGGACAACTTTTGTTTCTGCGCAAACCTGTAGTTATCCATTTATCGTTATCGAGGGGAAATCATCAATATATCGTGATATTGATTGTAGGCCATATCGCCCAGCCCTATTTCAGCATGATCTTATCAACAATAAGAGTGTGTGTGAATGAGAGACAAGGAAAAAAGATCCAGTACCTTTTAGCATGCTAGCTAGCTGCCAGCACCCCAGAGGCAGAGGTGGAGAATGCAGTCAGAAACAGAAAGACCATGTCCTTTTTTGTACAGCGAAAGTCAAATGCAAGCGCACTCTTTGTCCAAGGTGCATGTTACAAACATCACCCATGTAGCCACAAATTCAACTTTCTCTTGTTAGTACAACTGCCAACAACTCAACATGTTCTGAATTGCGTGAGTACATTCTTTAGGTGCAAATAATTTTTAAAACCTCTTGAAATGTTCAAACAAACTTGTATGAGAAACCAAACCTC